AATGTGTAGTTTATATAAATTACGAATGGTTGTATATATGTCTACTTTTTATATTTTAATCAAAATAAAGAGTGGGTTCATAAAACATTTTAACATGTGTGTTTTGGTGGCATTGGTTTTTAATACCCAATTCGATCACCTGGACATTACGCCATTACGGCCCAATAAGACTATTCGACCATTACGGCTGTTGGCATTGGTTTTTAATACCCAATCCAATCACCTGGACATTACGCCATTACGGCCCAATAAGACTATTCAGCCATTACGGCCCAGAAAGGAGAAGACCGAGTAATTATGTTTAGAATCAATTCAGCCATTAATGAGGATTGAAGTGGAGCCTATTTTGAGAAGAATTTGAATCAGCGTAATCTGTAACGGCCGAATTGATTGTGGCGAATTAAATGAGTAAGGGACCGAAGGTTTTCAGGAAGGAGATATAAAACCAAAGGGAAGAGGAGAAAGAAAAGGATTCATTATGTATTCTCAAAAACCAGCTATATTCAATAAAAAATACGATCTACTTATTCTATAGCAATTCGCCATAGTTGTATTATTGTTTTGCTCATTTAAACTCAATTAGACATCTTCCAGTATTCATCTTTTGGTGTGACCTGAATCAATCCGGATTCAAGACTCACATGTTTCATTATTAATTTCTTTAAAAACGTAGGAGTATTAAAAACTAATATGTGAGTATAAACCCTCACAAACGAACGTAAAATATTGTTTGATTTCAACCACTCGATTTGACTAAACTTATATATTTGAAGGGATACTAAACCCTAATATGGAAATCTAAACCCTCACAAACAAACGTATAATATTGTATCATTTAAAACACTCTATTTGACTAATTTAGTGAATTTAAAGGAATACTAAACTTTAAGACCCTCACAGACGAACAGAAAATATTGAATGATTTAAAACACTTGATATGAATAATTGAGTAGGTTTGAAGGCGGTAATAAACCCTAATATGCGAGCATAAACCCCAATATAGGAGCATAAAAGTAGGGATATATACAATCATTAGTATTTTGTGTAAAATACACATTTTAAGTTAATTATTTTTTAATGATTTAATCTAATTG